TACATTTTATGTAATAGTGACTAAATCATCCAAGCTTCACGCATATAAGCAGTTTAATTGATAGATTGGTAAACCCAAATATATCAAAAACTGAAACAATCGTTTGCTTTGCTTCAGGTCATTCCCCCTAAACTTTTATCCTACCTCAAAAACATCGTAGTACAAAATCCAATAGTCTTTTTTACATAAATGAATAAACTAAATAGTGCAGTCGTAATCGACCGAATTGACAAGAATACTTTATTCCCAGGATAATATTGAACATCTACGGGATACCGTACTACATATTATCTTCAAAACTAATACCCACAATATTTCTGTCATTTTCTACCACACTGGAAGTTAAATGGCGGAGTTGTACTGATCAGCATGCAGATTTACTACACTTGCCTTGCCTTGTCTGGCATAACTGGCACAAACCAACCCATCGTTTACCTTATGTTGCCGAAAAAAACAACAAAATTAATCAGACAGCGAATGAAAAACCAGGTACATTTTAAACAAAAATTTATGCATCGTCAGAAATTATCAGACATGCGCAAATGTCCCTCAAATTATTCACAAATGCTTTGAAATAACAAGCAAATTATTAGAAGTAAATGATTTCATTTAGTTAATAACTATTTGCGTCGAAGCTACCAATTCAGCCGGCGAAAGCAGAGCAAATTCGTTCTATTCTCTCGTCCCCCAAACAAAACCTGGGATATGTCCCATCGTTAATATCCATTACGTCGTAACTGCCATCCTCCAGCCATGATTGGTCGAACGTTGGGGGATACGGAAAATCGGCGTGTTGATATCCACATGACCTTTCTAATGAATGCTAATGGAATCGAACTATTGATTATCAATATCGGGATAGCATCTCGTTACGTTAGCTCAGCAGAGTCCAAATCTAACAGTACGTTCATCTACCAAACACTCTTCAAATTTAGGGAACAAAGCACAGTGAAACTACTTAATAAAATATATTTGAATAATTATCCAAAATGTTTTTTCTCAATACTACTTATAATTTTAATAAATATACATATAAATCAATACACGATTTCAAGTTTCTTCGGATTATGTACTGCGAATGCACTTGCCTAAACTCTGCCAATTGAAATAGACGATTGAAGTAATAACGCATTTTGATCTATACATTGTTGGGACCGATTATTTTTCGACAACAGTCAAGATATCAGTGTTAAAAATTGATACACGATTTTCTGCACGGACACGTTTCATTGTACTGAACCCACCGATAATGTTTCCAACATATTTTTCTACAAATTCCTTTTTAAATTGTTGAGCAATTTTGATGAATTCAATATTTTTCAATGTTTAAAAATACCTCGCAAACTCTCCGCAAATGGACTCTAGAACATCGATTAGTGTGTCCATACTACGGATTTGATACGATCCATTGTCATGTCATGTGAGATACAAAAAATGTGATAACAGCAAAATTCTATCAAAATCACGTAATAATAAAGCAAATGAGCTATGGAAAATCAGTTTAAGTATAATGAAGTGAAATCAGTCTTAAGTTATCACTACTGATTCCGCAGTACAATAGACGTTACTACAGGTGACTGCTTAATGAAGGTTGAGAATATCGGAAGAATGTATTCTGTAGTTTTGTTATTTGCATGTACGTGAACACCTTTCGTTTTGTCCGAAAACTAAAAATATTGCAAGTTGTTTTGCACGTGAGCACATTAATCTCACATTATTGTCTTTTTCACATCGCGGTTTGTTTGTGCCCTTTCGTGGACTTCATTCCAAAACCACCCAGAAGTTCACACCGTAACTCATGGATCATAAAACCTTGCATGAAAATCATCTATTGTATTGTCCTTAGAAACAAATGAATAGCCAGTGACATTAACAAGGCGAAGGACGTTCAAAAGATATAATATTTCTATTGTTTTAAGAAAAAAATTAATCTGTTCCACAAAAACATGGACTTTAATAGATCACTTAATTGAGGTGCCCATTTCATTTCACTGATTTCACCTTACAACATCATTGAATTATTTTATGGACATTATACATCCACCTTATAATTTTATTCTTTATCACATGAGTACACGAAAACAAGTGACGTTCGAAGTGAAAGGTGACTGGGGGGGGGGGCGACGAACTGTGCCATAAAATTTCATTTTATGAACGATTTCTTGCAAGGAAAAAGGTCTTTTGTAATGCTAGAACACAAATGATACGTTTTCATACAACGATCGAACAACAGAAAAAAATGACACATTTTTAAGAAGAAAAAGTTTTATCTCAATTATGCAAATAACGACTTTGAAATACATTACACTACCTGTCCTTTGCAAAGTACCGCCCGTCACTCAAAAGGTCTGCCAAAGCCTGGGTGGCTCCGCGGGAGTATTATTTATTTTGCCGATTCTCGCGGGCAGGGGCGCTATGGCGAGGGCGGTGACGAGGGCGGTGGCGAGGGGTATGGGAGGGCCGGTAGCCAGGGCGTGGGCGTGGGAGGGGCGGTGGCGAGGGCGTGGGAGGAGCGGTGGCGAGGGCGTGGGAGGAGCGGTGGCGAGGGCGTGGGAGGAGCGGTGGCGAGGCCGCGGGAGGGGCGTGGGTGGGGCAAAGGGATCGCCTCCACGGCGCTATTGTTTACAGCGCGAGCGGCGACGCAAACCCGCGCAAAGCACGGGCCCCCTGGGGCGCGCGGACAGCGCCATCAAAAATGCACGTGATTTAGGGGCAGGTGCGGCGGCGACGCAGAGCGCGGCACACGCCCCAGGCCACTCGCATCCTCCTTATATCGTTCGCCTATAATCCATAGACGCGACAACAAAATAACCATGTTTTAAAACATCAATGTTCAATATTAAACATCGATATTAAAAATACAAAGTGCAAAAATCAACTATATTTTAAAATATATATCCTGTAACATTAATGTTCACACGGGTGAGATTTTTCTTGGACAGTGGGCTTTTTTTTATTTATTCGTAAGTAAATTTAACTGACAAAACAAAAGATTAACACGTTTTACACAAAATGACAAAACGGTCTGAGAACTCGCGGAAAGATGAGAGGGGAGGACCTTGTGCGTAAGGCACATGCATTGACCTCTTTCCCACGTAGGAATACGAGGAAAGGCGTGAGATTCACCAGAGCAATGGGGAATGATAGTCTGCTCGATGAAGGTATTACTAACAGCGTTCGTGACGTTCTAACGCGTGAACTCTCAGTATTATCATTTATTTAATATTTCAACTTGTATAAAATATTATTATAGGATTCAATCTCAAACAAAATGTCGAAAACAAAAAACTTCAAGGACTAAACTTCGATATAAAAAACATCAGCTGTAATAAATCGATGTCAACATTTCTATGAAAACCATCGTTGTTTTGAAAATATTGACATTGATATGGCATACTTTCTATCATAGATGACTGACCACGCATCTCTGATTCCCAGTTTCCTCGTCGCTTACTTTGAAGTAATATGAATATCTGCGACATAAGATCTTTTGTTAACTGATACCTCTCTACTGGCGTGTTAGTTGTGTATCCCTCTTCCCGGTCAATCCCTACTTGTCACATTTTCTTCTTTACACTTACTCCACGAAATAACCCATACATCACCCTCCCTCTCAAACTCATTGCCTCGCACTTTCCCTCCACCCTCATCACTTCCTTTTTTCAGCAGACTCTTTCTATGTGTGTCTACATATCCTTATTTGCCATCTCACTATAAACACATGACTTTGCCCTGATCTTTCTTTTCCTTACGAAGTATTACATAGAGATTGACGCACGTCCGCAAATTCTTCATTCTGCTTACCATATGCAGCCCTGAAATGTCGCTTTCACCCACAAATGTGAACTTTGAGTCGCAAGTCGATGGAAAACCCTGCTCCTGCTTCCCTTCACCACCCTCCGCGCTGCCCTGCGCACAAATCAGCGTTTTTCATCGCTCGAAGCTGGCCATATCTACTGATATAAAACATTCGGATATTCAACTGATAACTTGATGAAAGATCGACTGCGGAAGAGAGAGAGAGAGAGAGAGAGAGAGAGAGAGAGAGAGAGAGAGAGAGAAACAGAGAGAGGGAGAGAGGGAGACAGGGGGAGAGGGAGACAGAGACAGACACAGAGAGAGGGAGGTGAAGGGAGACGACTGTGGGGCTAAGATAGAAAGGACAATGTATCGGACAGCTATGCAGATTGCTTATTCCATCCTCGTGTTACCCGTTTGGAACTTAACCAGATACTTATGATTTACCGAGGTTATACAACATGAGTACTTTAATTATGCTGTATATTTCATCTCAATAGCGCCAACATTCGCTTTTATACTCTTGTAGGGCAACTTTTCCCAAAGAAGCTCGAAAGAGAAGCCTCCGCTTCGATTTACACCAATTTAAGTGATATATTCCCGTCTACGCCTCTTTCCAAATGAGGTTATAAAACACAGCTATTCCCAGAAGCAAAATTCTTCTAAAGAGTTTCTCTTGACAACAAATTGAAAACTCGAATTCGAACTCTGTTCAAATAGTCTTCCAGATCTCAGAGGAAATTGGACGATAGGTAAATAAGCAAAAAGTTTCCAACTTTTGGGTCCGTCTCCTTGGGACATACACAACGTGATTCAGGGAAGTCTTTTACTTTTCCAGTTTAAAGCGAGAGAAATTTTTTTCAGGACCTATTAAATAAACATTGCTGTGGAATAATTTTCTTCCTAATTTCCATGTATAACCAATTCTAAAATGAAGGTAAAATATGAATTACAATGTCTTGAGTTATCGGATTTACCAAAAATAAATACATGTTGATTATTCCAGTTTATTTTGTTTTTCCCACTATTAGCTCATACAAGTAACAATTCGACACTTATTTTACGTAATGAAGCAATATTAATAATTTCCCCTCCAACGAGTTTGTGATCCTGCATTTGTAAGTCGCCGTACATATTACTTGGGAAAATAATTTGCAAGGAAGTGGATAGTATTACTAATATTTATTAAATCATATACTTACTATTCGAAGACCATGTACAGCATTCCTTCCGAGCTGTATGTCTCAAGGAGCTCGACTATATGAGGATGTTTTAGCATGTGGCAGATGGTGGCCTCACGCTTTAAGTCTGAAACAGGAGAGAGAGAGAGAGCACCTTTAGTCACAACAGAGAATGCAGTGTGCCCTTTTGCAAGACAAGGAAGCGCAGTAAATAAAACACGGTGGGAACAATAAACTCTTTCTTTTGTCGTCACGTAGGCCGTCCAGCGTGGAAATGGCCGCCGCGCCCGAAGCAGCTCTGACTCACGGACTCCCTGACTCGCGTTCCTTCTGTTTGCTTTAAAAGCTTTCACGCCGCCGCCGCAGTGTATGCACGCGGCGCGGCGCCATCGCTCAACATTACGCGTCTCCACATGTTCCTCACTGCATGGACGACCAATAAGTTCCCCCGGCCCGTACCACATCACCGCCGACCAAGTGATTCAAGATGAAAGCGCTTCCGAGGCGCGGCGCGGCGCGGCCCGGCCCGGGGAGGGCTTGCATTTTTTAGCCCCCCGTTCAAAGGGCGAGGATCTTCAAAGGGGCTCCGGCAAGATGCGGGCAAAGAGCACATGGTGGCCCCGGGCGGAGTAACCCAGCGCACGTGACGCAAGCCCGTGGGCGGCGAGGGGCAGGCGCCAGGAGCAGCGGGCCGGAGCAAGGTGGAGAAGAGAAGGTAGGGAGGCAGGCACGCGGATGAGCGAGTGGCCGAGAGCGAGGTGACTAGTGAAGCGAGCAGGGCAGCTAAGGGCTGACCGAGTGGCCAAATTACGAGCCACCGACCGGGCGGGGGCGAGCAAATACACGAGTAACGTAGAAGGACGGGTGGGCAAGTGGACGAAACGGTGGCTTTGGAAAGCAGTCGTGGGGGAGGTGTGTGTGTGTGTGTGTGTGTGTGTGTAGGTGCACGAGTAAATGAATGTGTATGCATGTGAACGCGTAGGAAGGCAGGGCCACATTTCATTGGATGAGGGAGTGGGTGGGCTTTCGTTCTGGGGACTTTCGTCGCTTTAATGCAAGAGGTTTCGGAGAGAGAGACACGCAGTGGGCGGAAGGGTTAGGCTGCACTGCAGAGCCTGCTGACGCAGATATACGGAACTCGCAGGCGGAGATTGAATACGCCATTACGCTGGTGGAGCAAGATAGACCCGAAATGAAAGCCATGTCTACGAACTGCACTGAGCACATGAATTGGCAGTATTAAACAGAAGAGAAATGAGTATTGCATGAATGACATACACGTTACGTCACAATTATCAAAGAAAAATGTTTTGAAAATTTTCAATCGTAAATTAGTTTTTTTTTATGTACGTCAGTTACAAGTAACGCATCAAGCCCTTTCGATCTATTACTACACACTATCCTTTGCTTTGAAAGGAACGAGTTTTGGTTTCTTATTTTCTAAAATTGCAATGCTACGTATACCGAATGTATCAATATTTTTACCTCAATAAATGAAAAAAATATGGAAAAGAACGTATTTGTAAAAAAAGGTTCAATAGGAAAAATTGAAAAGAAAGTTCATGTTCGTGGCCGGCAGTCACCACGAACATTCAAGTTTAAGTGGACCGACTGAGTTTCCAGCTAATCATTAATCGGTAAAGGTTTCACTAAATGGATGAATTATGTTGATAATACAAGGAAACCATGATATCATGGCACAGTCAAAGACCTAAGACGCAAGTGACGAAGCCTACAGCTAACACATTTCGAACTACAAACCTTCATTAGAAGAGCGAGATACGAACTGCGCTTATAATTTGCAATAATTTGGAGTGTTGAATATAAGTAACGTAAATTGTATTTCCACAACAATATTTTAAAACTTCAAAACTTTTATTACTTCAATTTATGAAATTAATGTATGAACAATTTTACACTATTCACTTTATCGTTAGATTTGTAATTGACTGTGAAGCAAGATAATCGTTTTGTATTTATGTTGTAATATCGTAAAATTGAGCATTATTTAACTGTTAATTATTTGCAAGTGACATTTTTAATAAATTATTTTTAAAGCATTTAGTAATTTTTGATGTTTAATCATTAAAATTATTTGTAATTAAATTTTTATTGTTTTACGTAGATATTAAAAGGTCTCAAATAATGTGTACTGTATTACAACTGAAAATTATTAGTTATTAAGTTAATTTTTTGTGAAAAATGAAGAATTTCATATATTAATAAAATACGAGCAATCGTATCCTTGAATCATGCAACTTTATAGGATACATATTTAAGAACTCTACGAAAGTAAATTTAATAAAATTTAAAACACCTAATGTCTTGCAGGCAGTGGACTAAAAAGCAATATAAGGGGAAAATGGAAAAGAATGTGAAATTTTCAAAAGATTGGAATTTTTTAAACTTGAAGTTAAAGGGATTCAAGAAATGACGTTTTTAAAATTGTAAATAGCCCGAAAAGTTAAATGTTAAGCTAAGTTCGTAATTGATAACAAGGGAATGAACATTAAAACACGGAATCGTAAATAATAAGATAGGCATAAAAAATTATCTTATGTTAAATTTAAACGGTTAATAAGATATAAAGTATAGTAGTGACATACGTACTTTCTCACATTAGTAACGGTTACATGATATAATATTATGACACATATTTTACTAACAATCACTTAAATCAACTCATATTAAAACAGTATAAGCAAATGAAGTGAAGTCAGACGCTGCTGAAACATATTTGTACAGGTGCATGCGAAAGATCCATTTATTACATTTGCCTAAAAAATGGTTACTTTTTAAAATAAACCAACACGCCTACTTATAAATATAGTGTGTGTGAATGAATATGGTACATATGTAATTGCCTTATTGCCCTTGAATATTAAAGCCAAAGATTTCTTTATCATTGTGTATCACAAGTCATAAACGCTTAGATTCAAATCAACTGGGGAGTTTTTTTGTATAATTTGAATATTTTATAATTATTTATAAAATAATTGAATACATTTTCATAAATTGAGTAATTTTATTTTCAATGAAATGTTCAAATTATTTGTTTTTAAAATCAATGCGATTTAAATTCTTGATATTATCTACAATAATTTCATGATCTTTTTTTCAGGCAATATTGGTTTAATAAAAAAATAATTTCGCATCAACAATATTCGAGCAGCCACTAATATGAGCTGCAGCTGAAAATTGTCGGCAGACGCCGAAACGCCGCGAGTCGCACTGAGCTCGCACGAGAGGAGACGACCAAAGAATAGGACGGACGATCTGGGCAGACGGGGTTCGCCACCGTGAGAGAGGCGTTGTGGGATCGCCGGCCACCGGCTGCCTCGCGAAGGAAGGGCAAGAACTCGCTTGCACGTCGTCTCGTGTGTTCGATGTTGGCGTAATCGCAGGGGTCCATCTCGGGCTCCACGCAGCCGGCGCGCCTCGGGCGCCCTAGGGCCCAGATCTCGCCCGAATGCAGGGCTATCCGCCCTCTCCTCGCCCCCTGGCGAGCCCCAGCTTAAGCCGCAGCGACCGCCGCGCCGGCGGCGGTCGTTTCGCGCGGCCCTCTCCTTCCGGCCCTTGCCCTTCGTTATCCAGCGATCTACCTTTACTCCTCGACCCTTTGGGCCCTCTTCATTCTGCCCTATAAATTTCTTTCAACCGCCCTCTTCTTATTGCCTCTTTGTACACAGTTCGATTTTGCTGGGAAAACATGTGTAGATGACGCAATAAAGAGGTAGGTAGCCGCTTGAGAGGCAGGTTATACGATTCACGAATCTTCTGGTTGGTGAGCGAGTGAAAAAAAGTCAAGTGTGAATAAAGGAATAAATGAGTGTGAATAAACGAATAAAGTCGTGAATAAAACATTATTATTACTATGATTACTGTTATTGTGTTTCTTGATGATGTTGTGAATAAATGGCTGACAGTGAGTCACAAGTACTGATGAAGTTAAACAGATCGAATTCAATATTTTGAAGCTGTTCGGTAAGACAATACCACACACGTTAACTTCCGCCTGCCTCTACATTTCACGCTTCTACACATTATCTACCATTATTGAATTAAAGGGACCAATGTTAACCAAACTATTTCATACAATACCAAAACACGAACAATTTTCTCATTTGTTGGAAGTTGGAACGATATTGAGATCCAAGCCAAACAATACTCCTCGAAGACTAGACAGCCGGATTGCAATGTACACCCCGGATCTGCGCCCAGAATGAAGTCTGCTCCGAAATGCTCCCTGGAGTGCTGTGGAGTGGCCAGCCCTTCAACAAAAGGTCCTCCCAGCGTCGCCGGAGGGGCGGCAAGGGTTATTCAAAATGCACGGCGATGAAAATTTACTGAGTTTGGAGGCGCCGCGCGACCGACCGCCTTCCCGGTGGCTGCGGAGGCGCCCTGGCCACCTCGCGCGGATCGAACAACCAGATTCCGCCATCGCCGATGCCTGAGAGGCTGCCAAAGCAGTTACTTTCTCTCCGCTGTTGAAAGGTGAAGAGTGTGGCCGTGGCCTTGTAAATGCCAGGATGGTCCGTTGAAAATTACGGACGTGGATAACTTCGTCGTAATGATCTTATTGGGTAAATTGGGCATTTTTACCGCTGCAAGCCACTCGTTATAAACAATGCTCACATTTGACATATTTTCTTACTAGTTAAGGGCATGTCTATCAAATCCCTCTTATGTAATTTCTTGCCCCTTTATATCACTGGTAGTGGCTGATTCCATTTATACTTACCTACCTATAGAATAGATAGAAATAAGTTTGGTAGCAAAATTAGGTCACAAATACTAGTGTATATTTTTGAGAAGTATTAAAGCCATGGTTTTCGAACGCTGATGTAATTATAGGAGTCATATTTAATTTCAGAGATGCCTATTAAACTTGTAGCATAATATGATAATTGCAGCAAAATAATTACTTGAAATAAATTGCAAAGAAAACTGTTTTCAAAGAGTAAGTTTTGTAATTCACAGTAATGTCAGTGCCCAGGGTTGTTAGTCTATGCAAGGATCTGATACGAGCCGTTTATCAAACGAAATACTAATGATACACTAAAATACTTTTATTTCAGTACTGTGATAAAAAAATTCATTACAATACGCAATATATGTAGGAAGTTA